AAAATATAATTATAGAAGAAAAAAAAGAAAAAAGGGTTCTAGAGTCCTCACTCTCAGTAATATTACAGAATTTGTTACGAACTGTACAAATGACTTTGCAAGTCAATAAAACACAGGTAAGTACCCTTTTGGTGTTCCCTGCTTTTATCCTAGATCTATTTTGTATCAGCAATTCAAGTCCTTGTTAAGCATCTTCTGCATAACTTTCAATTCTCTGTGGACAGGCTGCTGCTACCATATTTTAATTATCTTCAGGCAAATTTTACCTTTGTTTGCTATTAATAATACTGTCCAATCATTTCCACATTGTGTTCGCTTGCTATTCTTTCAAATGGGCACAAATATACTCTCTTCCAGTTGTTTGGTCAGGTAGCTATCTTCCAGATTTCTTGGCATAGAAAAGTGAGTTTTAGAACTGCATCAGCTTGTTGAACTATCTCAATTAGTATTCTATCAATTCTTGGAGTCTTATGTTTTTAAGGTCAATGCTTTGTGGTCAATGCCTTTAGAATAGCTTAGAAATCTTTTTATCAATATCATAATGTTGTTGTTGTTGTTTACCACTGAGTCAACCTACACATAACTGATTCTCAAGTGGATTTTCAGAGGCAGTTAATCACATGGGAGGACAATGCTCATCCTTCTCCTGTGGACCAGCTGGAGGCCTCGAACCTTGTCCCTTTGAGATTACAATGCAGCTTCTTGCCACTACGCCATCAGAGCTCCCTAATACTTCCTGAAATTACAAATATCAACCAACTTATTTTAATATTAAGTCAACAAAACTTACTGCCATTGAATCAGAACCAATTTATAGCTGACCTTCCAATAGATTTGCAGAAGCTGTAAATCACATAAGAATTTCTCCCATAGAAATTACTTAGCCTCTACCTGAGAACTCTTGTGAGGTAGTAGATTAAGCACTGAGCAGCTGAACAGAAGGTCAAGCAGTTCAGACTCATTAACACTTTTGTGGGAGAAAAATAAGGGTATTTGTCATTATAAAGATTTACAGCTTTGGAAACTCTATGTGGCAGTTTCGCTGTGTTCTATAGAACACTAACAACTAACACTATATAGCACTCTAGTGAAGACCAGACTAGCTGAAGAATGACATTAGGGATACTGCATGAAAAAAGCAAAAGGTTATTAATAGACAGGAAAAAGCAAAAATAAGAAACAAAAAACTATGTTAAAAGTATTAACATTTATTTACTATGCTACTGACAAATAATTTGTAACCTTAAGTACATAAACTTCTGAGTAGAGTTTTAAAACACGGACTAGATCAGCTGAACTGAAAAGAAGTGATTTGTAGGCTAAAGAAAAGGCTGTGGTAATACCTAAAGCCTGACATGGAATACGAACAGTATCACATTAACTGAAGTACAGGATCTTCATATTGTTGCACGTACTCAATCTGATAGAATGTGATTCAAAAACAATCTCTTCAATTCTTCAATGTGAACACACTCATGCAAAAGTTAATTCGGTGAAAATATCAGTGACATTGTGCATGCTGTGCAGGAAGGGTGGTATGGTCTTACAAAACAGATTACCGGGATCTGGATCCTCGATGTCATCATCTTCTTCCTCTGGGATTGTCTCAGTGTCCACCTTACTTTCCACATGGGACAGTATTAAATCAACATCCTGTAACTCCAAATACTCCACTGGCATCCCCTGAAAATATATTTATTTTAAAACTATGATTAAATATGTTGTTGTTGTTGTTATGTGCCGTCGAGTCGCCTGCGACTCATAGCGACCGTATGTACTACAGCCCTAAACTCCGCTCTGTCCTGTGCCAATCGCACTGTTTCCGACACTCCCATCCCAATTATCCCAGTCACTGAATCAATCCACCTCATAGAGGGCCTTCCTCTCCTGTGCCGTCCCTCCACCCTCCCAAGCATGATGTCCCTCTCTAAGGACCGGTCTCTCCTCACAACATGTCCAAAGTATGTTAGACGGAGACTCAGAATCCTTGCCTCCAAGGAGCCACCCAGTTTAACCCTTTCCAGGACAAATCTGTTTGTTTTCCTAGCAGTCCATGGTATTCTCAATACTCTTCTCCAGCACTACAGAAGATCATTTTAGTGTAAAAATATTTAACTTCCAAGAAAAAAAAATGTTTAACATCTATGATAGTAGAATGAAACTAAACCACAGAACTTAAAACAAAAGACATTAACTTCATTAAAAAAGTGAACTGTATTTTATATAAAAAAAGTTAGCAGACTGCTAAAAAGCTGTTGCTAGTTAATGTCATTGAATTGATTCTACTTCTAACGAACTGAAACTGTTCCATACTCACAATTGTTGTTGTTGTTATGTGCCGTCGAGTTGCTTGCTACTCATAGCGACCCTATGTACAACAGCCCGAAACCATGCTCTATCCTGTGCCAATCGCATTGCCTCTGACACACCTAACCCAATTACCACAGTCACTGAATCAATGCACCACATAGAGGGTCTTCCCCTCCTGCGCTGTCCTTCTACCCTACCAAGCATGATGTCCCTCTCCAAGGACTTGTCTCTCCTTACAACATGTCCAAAGTATGTCAGACAAAGCCCCAGAATCCTTGCCTCCAAGGAGTAGCCCGGTTTAACCCTCTCCAGAATGAATCTGTTTGTTTTCTTAGCAGTCCATGGTACATTCAATACTCTCCAGCACCACAGCTCAAAGGCATCAATTCTCCTTCTATCCTTTCTAGTCATTGTCCTACTCTCTGATGCATAATAAGTAACTGCAAAGACCATAGCCTGTATCAGACATAGAGTTGATTTTGACTCCTGTCAGCTCCCTCATTTTTCAAAGTAGAACTGTTCTCCATGAAGTTTTCGATGGCTGTGAAAGCCAGAATTTAAGGTAGATTTCCTGTTAGAGGAAAAAATACAAATCTTTTCTGCTAATATAGATAGAAAAATGGTAAGACACCAAAACCTTGCAAGAGTTAGGGAAAAAGATAGTTCCACTGAGTACCAGTTCTCACAAGTGTCATATACTACTTTCAAGATCACATGCATTAACTTTCTTGACATAAGGAGACTTTTCATATCAATAAATAAAATGACTAACCTCTTCTGCTCTTTTGAAGACCACATTAGTGTGCTGAGGAATGTTCACTTCCAAAGAGTCCCTTTTTCAAAATGGAAAGAAATGTTTACGTTGCTACTCAGAAGAATTATAATAGCTCATCATATTCATTTAGAATATAATTTTATTCTTATAATAAAATTTGTTTAAGAAAACCTATTGAGCCTAAGAAATTTATACATTAAATTACAAATATTTCAATCTACATGTTTCAGCAAGACTTACAACCAAATTTTAATCAGTTTACAACTAATTTACAGATTGTAGCACAGCAACTAAATCTAATAACATTAACACCTATTAGAGATTTCTGCTTCCTTACAAGTAAGATATCATATTTAAAATTTTTAAAAAATTAGTGTTTTACTAAAGGTATAGTAATATTCAATTTTATGGTACCTTAACAAGAGAAGAACTCCAGCTTTTCCTAGAAGATGCCAAGCAACCCATTCAGCAGTTCTTCTATCAGCCTCATATGTGACTCGTTGACTAACAATAAAAACCAGTGGTAATCCTAGCTGAAGATGAACAGTTGAAACTTGCTGAGGATCTTCAGCAACTTCAGTCTTGATTAAAAGAAAAACACAACTATAATAATTGATAACAATGTTCCATCACTTAGATTTAAACCCCAGTTAATTCTATTAATAAAGTCAAATATTTAAAGTAAGTCTGTTAAATAAATCCAGTGTTACAGAAATTATCTCATACTGTCCTAAATTTATTATTCCTAAAAACAACAACAACATCTATATAATTTAAATATTATAAAACTTACAGGTTTAATAAGGAGTTAAATCTGAGCTTACAGCTATAAGTAAAACACATATTAGAGAAATAATTATATAAATAGTATGGTGTTGATATATACTATACTTTTCACTGAAATAAAGATAACAACGTCATAGTATCTTTCCTATGTAGTCATTTACCATATACTAGATAACACATTGTTGTTGTTAAGTGCCATCAAGTCAAGTACAACTCAGAGTGACTCTATGAACAAAAGATCTAAATTCTGTTCCGTAACTATCGTCGTTTCTCTATGTTCGTAGTTTCCAGAGGCATGTGGTTTATGAAGTGGATGCAATTTCTGCTTCCAAACCTGAATCAATCCACCAAATGAAAATCATCTGAGTTCAAAAAGCAGATGGACCTTTAATGCATTCCTCCCAGAAATCCCAAGAAAATAAAAGAGTTTGTAAGATGAGATAAACATACAAGAATGGAGAGAAAGGGGGAAAGACAAAGCAGCAAAATGCTGAAAGCTGGAGACCAAAATAATAAGGGGCAAAGGGCATTCTATAAAGCAAAACTCTAAGACATGGTAAGGAAATGGCAGGAATGTTCTATAATGAGGAAAAACAGATAAAAAACTTTCATAAGCAGTTAAGACTCCTGGATTTCCCTCCCCAAATTCATAAGTTTAAGTAACTGTCTCATGTACCAACAGAAATCAGGTGACTTCAGGAACAACTGAGAATATGAATATCATGCCAAATTAAGGGGTTAAATATTCTGATGCTGATATATCCCCTATTCTCCTCAGTCTGTTCCCAGAAAGCTAGCATCCAGATCATCTGTCCTTCAAGAAAATTTTGTTGTTGTTGTTATGTGCTGTTCAGCTGCCTGTGATTCATAGTAACTCTATATACAACAGTCCCAAACCCTGCCCTACCTTGAGTCAATCTCACTGTCTCCAACTCCTCTTTTGTGCTGTCCCTCCACCCTTCCAAGCATACTGTCCCTCTCCAAGGACTGCTCACTCCTGGCAACATGCCCACAGTGTGTGAGATGGAGCTTCAAAATCTTTGCCTCCAAGAACTAGCCTGGCTTCAACTTCTCCAGGAAAGATATGTTTGTTTTCTTGGTAGTCCATGGTATGTTCAAATGTTATTTTCTAGAAATACTGAGTAAACTTAAGAAAGAACACACATATATATACTGATACCGAGTTGCTCAAAAAAAGCAGCAAAACATTTTGCTCAATAACTCTATGGAACTCAAAGCCAAGTTTCACGACTTAGAACACCAAATCCATTTTTTAGTTTTGTGTTCTAGATCATGGACGATATCCAAAGAAAATAAACATCTGAGGAGAGTCGCTAGCATATGAAAAAAATACCAAAATAAACAAACTAAAAATAACAACAACAAATGGAGAAAATAACACACCATGAAGGAAGTGGAAAACCTCAAGAATCATTGCCATGGCCAGATAAGAAGATAATACAACCACAGGGAACTGAAATATAAAGTTGACTATATCTCCCAAAAAGTAGAGCAAAAAAGATAGCAAATGGGAAAGACAGGGCAATAAAATTAAAGGCTAGTCTAAGAGGTCCAATACCCAAGCAGTAAGAGTCACAGAAAGAAAGGAGAGAGAAAGAGGAAGAATTCATTGTTGAAACACAAAAACCTTTCCCATAACTTATGGCTAGCTATCAGACTGAAATGACACACTCAGTAACCAATGCAGTGGGGTTAAAAGCACATATACAAGACATTGTCTTTTTTAAAAACTTTTCATTATTTTTTTAAAAATCTGAACATTTTCAAAGAGAATCCTCTATTTACCTATGGTAGGCAGAATTCTCGGGTTAGTCTCTAAATGCCTTCCCCTCTAGTATATTCATCTTGCATAATCCCCCCTCCTTGAGTTGAGTAAGACTAAAGAGATAAGTAATTCCTTCAGGTAAGTTACATTCTATTAAATCTATCATAAGTTTAATCATAAATAAGACTAGCCGGATTGAGACCGTACTGCTAGCTTTGAAGCACTAAGCTGTAATGTTATGAACAGCCATGTGTGTGAGCATACCCTAGTTAATAGCCATTAAGAAAATGTGGACTTCAGTCCTAAAATCACAAGGAACTGTACAAGTAGAACAGCTTGGAAGCACAGAAAAGTGTGATTTCTTCTTCGTATATCTGGAGAGCTACAGTTACACAGCATTATAAAGTGAAAAGGAAGAGATGGCAGTTAAGTCTAGATTCTTGGAGAGAGAAGAGATTAAAAACTGTGTATAACCTGCCAAGAAACTATGACTCTGTTTTGTGAATAAAGCCACTTTGAATAATAAGAACTACTGTGACATAATCATATATACGTTTCATTTACAATCAATAATTCATTTACATTATGTTTCATTCATATACACTGTGTTCCATACAATCCTTCATTTATAATATTTCATACAATCATTCATATGCACTGTATCCTATATGATTATCATTATCCTGTTTAAATGTTAAAAAAAAATAAATCACTCTGCCAACAGTGACAAACACAGAGACTAGCTCCATTGTTATTAACTTGTCCAGATAAGAAATACTGACAACCAGACTAAAGCCCTAGCAGTTAAAACAAAACAAAACAAAAGTTGAAAAACAAAAAGGAAAATTATATAGGAATTAAGAATTATTGTCTAGGTTTCTGGCATCACTGATTGCATCGGCTGACATAATGGAGAAAGAACATATGGTATAAAAGGACAACATGTGAAATTTGAACATATTAAGCTTACAAGGAAATACATAAAACTAAAAATCAGATATGAGACAGAGTCTTCAAAGAAACTTATGAGCTGAAATTAGGATCTAGAATCATCAGTTAATGCCACAGAAACCGATTATAAGCAACTAACACTGTATAGAGCAAACTATCCCCAAATGTGGTAGCTTAAAATAACAAATAGCAAGAATCTTTTCTATTGTTAACATATCTATAAGTTTATTTATACTCCATATGCTATTAGTGAGGTATTTCAACTGGCATTGAAGGGTCTGCTTTAAAAAAAATGCTTTGTTCACATGGCTATCAACTTGCTGTTTGAAGTTTAGTTTAGTCAGGATAGTGGGCTAGTGGTCTTGATCCCTCGTCACTTTGGCCTCTCCTTTTGGCTAAGCAAAGTAGGTGAGTTCGAAGAGTGCATGGGCAGTCCAAGAGAGCAAGGTAGAAACACAGGGCATTTTTTGATCTAGCTTTATAGACAATACCACTTTAGGCTTATTCTATTGGCCAAGACAATCACAAAGGCTAGCCAGATTCTGTGAGAGGGGACAGAGACTCTACTTAATAAGAACACATTATAAGAAGAATATGTAGAATATGAGATACTGTTGCAGCCATTACTGGAAAATATAATCTTAGTCAATGAAATGGAATTTGAGAGATCTTAGAAAAAAGAATGGGTGTGTGTTGTGCAAGTAGGAGGGTCAAGATTCTTGTAGTCTGTAATCTGCCCTCTGACTACAATAACTGACATTCAAAGTACACTTACTCCTTTCTCCAACTCCCCTAGGTATTATCCCATCAGACTTTGAAATCAGGGAAAAGTCATTAGACTTTGAGATCAGGGAAAAGAGTAAAATCTCACTTTCAAGCCAATGTGCACATTGGTCTCTGCAGGGAGTTATGGTAACTTAGTGGTAAGGAGTTATTCTGCCAGGGATTTCTCCAAATTTCTGAGAAGTAATGATGTCAACCTGAGGGCTAAGGTGAGCCTGGTTCAGGTCACAGTCTTTTCAGTCACTTGCTATACATCTGAGAGCTGTACAATGAGTAAGGATGACAACAGAAGAACTGATCCCTTTCAACTGTGGTACTGGAGACCAGGACTGCCAAAATAAAAAGATATGGCTTCGAGAAAGTGCAGCCAGAGAGCTCTCTGGAAGAAAGGATGATGAGGCTTCATCCCATATACTTTGGACATGTTACTAACAGAGGTTATTACTTGAAGATGGACATCATGCTTTGAAAAGGGGAGAGGCAGCAAAAGAGAGTAAAACACTCTATCAGATGGACTGACACAGTGACTGCAGCAATGGGTTCAAGTGTGTCAGAGATTGTAAGGATTGTTCAGATCAGTTGTTCACAGGGTCACTATGAATCATATTTAACTTGATGGCACCTAACAACTGTTTGGTCCCCTATGCATGGCTTCTTTAGAACCTTTCCTCCAGACTTTAGAAAAACCAACAAGTTATTGGCCCCAAATATACTCAACAAACAAGGATGGAACACACATACAATGATCATTATACACACTCTTATTTAGAAGAGTGAAACAGTAAGGTATTCAATAGTCAGTGGTCTACAGCAGTTCTAAAATCCACCTGTACACACGATTCCAGTATCTTTATCTGTGGTCATTCTGATTCCCTAGGAGTTCTCTCTGTTCTTTTTACAAAACAAGCAGCCTGATTTGGTAACTGCTATCTCAGCCTCTTCTTACAGATGTTTGGAGAATCCAAGAAGTCTTTTTTCATTTTGAACAGTTTCTGTTTCTTTCCCCACAAGCTGATATTCTTTTATGAGTTTTTAATGAAAGTTATCCTTTATCCCCTATTCCATTATGCAAAATGTAAAATTCAAGCATGTGCTTGAATAAAGCTTTCTTTACCTTGAGGTCTCTGAGACAGTTTTGTGGAACTAAATTTTAAGATTCTTTGAAGCCTTATTGTTTAACACTGATGCCCTTACAATCCTTAGAGATCAAACCAAAAGCCAAACTCTGCCATTTAGCTAATGCTAACTAAAAATTACAGGCCTTCAAAAACCCTA